GGAGCATTGAAAACTCACCAGCAAATTCCTTTGAAAACAGCTGTTGAAAAAGCAGGGGTGGTCAGTCAGTCTAGATTGGAAACGAAAATCTCCATACAATCGTTTTAATTGCCTAAAATGTATGAAAATGTGTTGTCAACAAGGTATGGTACACGTGTGTTACTATTTTTGGGAGGGATATCCCCTTCGCGTCACAGGTCACGTGATTCAAAATGGCCCCGCTCATATGTGAGCGATCGACTGAGATGTTTGATGGCTTGTAAATATATATTTTTGGATATTTTGATAACGAAAATAGGGCGCACGTGTAGGTATAAGTACAAAGAAGTAATTCATATAAGTTTTTTGTGTGCGCAAAAATCGTAACGAGTGCGCGAAAGTGCGACAAAGGATTTCCACCATTGCGGCCTATGGAGGTGCTGCATAGCGTTCATGTCAGTGAACGCTATGTATCTTAGCTAGTTGCATAGTGACTTGAATATTACATTGATGGTAACTTACTGTTTAATTGTCAGATTGTATAACAGTATCGATAATACAATATCTGAGTTAATAGAGCTACGCTAAACATAGCCTCGTAGTTGCACTATAATTAAGTCCCACATGTCAATCGTCTTAAAAAATAAAGAGTGTATCAAAGAAACCATAAATTCATCTTGGTTTTCAAATGCTGGAAGTACTTTTTACATCCATATTTTTGAAATGTTTGAAATTTTGTTTCCATATACAGAATAATGAAAACTCCACAAAGCGTGTTACTGATATATACACTTTCACAAATCCCATTCTATACTATTGTTATGACTACAAAGCATTTCTGAATTCAGTGATAATCCGCATCTTTGAAAATGGTTGAAAAGGAAAAAAAATAAGATTGTCTCTAACTTAGTCTAAGTCTAAACTGTAGGGGTGTAAATAATGTGTTTAAAAGAAATAGGGTGTTCCGCTTCTTACGGAAACAAAAAGCCCACATATACTGTTTACAAGATGTTCATTTTACTAAAGATCAAGAAGAGATCATTAAACAACAATGGAGCTACAATCAATGCTGTATGACATCGTTTAAAAGTAATGCTAGAGGAACAGCTGTTCTATTTATTAACTTTGAATTCAAAGTTGAAGATGTAGTTGCCGATAATGATTCAGGAAATTATGTAATATTAAACATAAAAATATGTGAAAAAGTTTACACAATAGCAAGCATATATGGCCCAAACCAAGATACACTAGAAATTTATGACACAATTAAAGATCATGTGGAATGTTTAGGAGGGGCACAAACTATTTTATACGGAGATTGGAATGAAAGATACTTTCAATTATAAAAATTTCAACAACCCAAAAGCTAGAGAAAAAATTATAGATTTGATACATGTTTTAGATATAAAAGATCCATGGAGTGAAACAAACCCCTTCGAAAAAGGATTTACCTGGCATCAACCTACTCCAATTAAACAAGCTCAACTAGATTATTTTTTGACCTCTCATAATTTACTACGAAATGTTATCAAGTGTGACATAAGTCCAAGTATAGATTCAGACCATTCACTTATTCACTATCTCTATCTGAAACACAAAGAGGAAAAGGTTTTTCGAAATTCAACAAGTCTTTATTACAAGATCCAAAGTATGTACAATTAGTTAAGGAAACTATTAAAAACACTTTGAACTAATATAACTCTAAAACAGAAGACCAAAATTCAAAATACCAAATTAATGATCAACGTTCTGTGGGAAATGATTCTTATGGAAATTAGAGGTTTAACAATCAATCCTCAACAAAGAAGACAAAAGATAAGAGCAGAATTAATGACCTAGAAACATTATTGCATGATTTATAGATAGAACTGGATAATAACGACAGTTTACAGATCAAAGAAGAAATTTTAAAAAGAATAAATGATATAAAAATTGAACTTAATGATTTTGAAACAAATTAAACAAAGGGATCCTTTATTAGATCCAAAGCAAAAGGGGCCCAACAGGGAGAAAAAACAAGTAGATACTTTTTAAATTTGGAATTTAGAAATTTTGTAAACATGTCTATATCACAAATTAAAAACCCCGATGGATTAACCATTAAGGATCAGAAAGAAATACTAAAGGAAACCCAAACCTTCTATAAAATTTTTTTATAAAAATTAAAACTGCACACAAATTAATCTTGATTCTTTGTTAAACAAATACGATATACCAAAACTAAATGAAGACAGTGCCACAACTTTAGAGGGAGAACTAACATATGAGGAAGCCCTAGAAGCATTGAAAAAAGTCCTGGACCAGATGGTTTTACAGCAGAAGTTCTAAAATTCTTTTGCATAGACTTAAACAAATTCTTGATAAATTCTATAATTTATGCCTATCAAAACCAAAATCTATCAGTTACCCAGAAACAAGGATTAATTACATGCCTACCAAAAGAAAACAAACCAAAACTATTTTTTTAAAAATGGCAGACAATTTCTCTCCTTAACACATCATATAAAATTGTATCAGCGGTTATAGCCAATAGAATGAAAATGATACTACCACTAAAGTACTGTCGGAAATGCTAGAAAAATGCTTTTTAGCCTTAATATCTTTATAAAGGTGATAAATATACTATGTTGTCAATATATCAACTCGCCTATTGTCTACCTAATTTCTATTTCAATCGATTTAACATTCTCATGCATTTAAAGGGCAGTTTACAGGAGAGAATTTGGTACCAAAACAGCAACTTAAGATTTTTTCAGAGTTCAACAACAGAAATCTGAAATATGTGGTGTAAAACTATGAATTAACGTTTTTCCTAAGCAAATAAATGTTGAATGTTTGTGTTTCTTTACTAAATTATCCTCTTTTTTTTATTGAAGAAATATTAATATAAATGTTTAGTCTTGATAAATATGTTTCCCGTCATGCATGCACGTCTTTAACACAGCGTCCACTATGGCCAACCATTTGCAGTCGATTGTTGCAAAGGTTCATAGTTTTTTTCTGCATAAAAAAAACATAGGTAAACCTTTCATTAGTTTAGAAAGGGTTAATTACAGAACTTGTAAAGCTGTTGGCATGTCTTACCAACAAGTTTACAATATTGTAAACAAATCAGACAAGACAGGGACCGTCTCAAATGCAAAACCGGGACGTAGAACCATACCTGACAACTTTGACAAGGGAGTGCTGAGACGGGCGGTCTACAAACTTTATGAGAAGAAAACTATATATTCTAAAGAAGCTACACCAGTGACTTCGTTAAATCTTTGGCCAATGTTCACAACTAGATTAAACTGACCAAATTACATCCATATTTTTTCATTAAAATATACTGTTGACATGCAAAACATTTATTAAAACGTTGCACATTTCTACAATCAATCAATAAGATAACACAAGTGATAGGATTCTTTCCAATGTACAGTAATTCGTATGTTTATCTCAAAACAAACACACATACACAAATGATCCCTTACATAACTGATACATATACTATACGTACACATATTCAACATTTTGCAGAAAACATCTATTGAGATGACCCCCGCCCGAGCGTGTGCTCAGGTGTCAATTTCACCTGTCGATAGCATGCATGCTGATGACGTAACCCAGCCAGTTAATGTTTGTTTCAAATAACGTCCAACTATCCCTTATTTTTCTAAGTTTTTGGTATTTTCATCAGTAAAAACATGTCTCAAAATATATTCCCTCGGTCTACATTAGGTAGATGTTTCTTGAAGTGATATTTGTTACTTAAGTAACTGTAATACCTCTGAATTTTAAATATAAGTCAAAAAGCATTTTTCTAGCATTTCCGACAGTACTTTAATTATAATTGATAATCAAAAAGGCTTTGTACCAGGAAGATATATTGGTGAGGTCACAAGGCTGATATACGATCTAATGGAGTATAGAGAATCTTATCAAATATCAGGACTATTAGTTCTAATTGATTTTGAAAAGGCCTTTGATTTAATTGACAGAAATTTTAGACTAGATGTGTTAAGATTCTTTAATTTCGGACATAGTTTTCAGAAGCGGATCAGAACTTTTTTTAAAGATATGAAATCAAGTGTACTTGTAAATGGATTTGCTAGCACCCTTTTTCCTACAGCCATAAGTTGTCGTCAAGGAGATTCGGTATCGCCATATATTTTATGTAAGGCTGCAACGATTCACGCACATATTCGGTACATATTGAACCGTAGCCCTTCATGAATTCAATTCGTTATTCATGGTCACCAGAACCGAATATTAACGAATATTTACAACTTTTTTAAGGGAGCATGTTTTACTTGAACCCTTATGTCCTTTCCAAAGTGAAATATGCAAGAATGGAACATGTACTAGCATTGCAGTAGTGCAAGTCATGTTAGTTTGCCAAGACTGCACATGGTACTGTCGATTATTACTATTACCGGGTACATTCCAAATTTGAGTGCCATGAGATGTCTGGTTATTGCTGTGACAAATCAAAACTGTCCACATGGGCGTTCCATATTGTACATCAATCACTTAACTACAACATTGTATTTGTGAATAATTATTCGTATTCGTTACCCAATATTCATGATACGTATCATATTCGCCACATAGTGTATTTGTTTGTTTTTATCTTATGCAGAAATTTTGGCTATACTTTTCAGAAATAATAAAAATATAAATGGCATTAAAAAAGGAAGTATTGAATATGTTCTTGCACAATTTGCTGACGATACCTACCTTTAGATGTCACTGAGAGTAGTCTATATGCCTTGCTGAACACTATTTCTTTCTTTGCAAGGTTTTCTGGCTTGAAAATTAATGCTGACAAGACAAGACTGATCTGGATAGGCTCTAAAAAAGATGTAGATATAAACTCTGTAAAGACTGGAACTTAGATTGGACTCAAAGTAACTTCAAGCTACTGGGTATATGGTTTGTTGTTGACCTTGACAAAATGGTGAAACTGAATTATGATAATAAATATATAAAGATAGAGAATGAAAAGAAGTTATGGAAAATAAGAACAGTTACTCCAATCAGTAGAAATGTTACTAGTATTTTGAAATCAGTATTACTTGCAAAATTTATACATTTATTTTCCTTAATTCCATCACCCCCAGATGAAATAATAAATACATTTCAACAAGCCTGTTTCAAATTTGTATGGAAAGACGGTGGGCAGACAATAGGCCCACAAGGACATAACACCCTTGGACAAAACACCCCTAGGCTAAATGCCCCCAGGACAAAAAGCCCTTGCAAATTTCAGCCCATAGGATAAAACACCCTCAGTGTATATTTTGAGTTGACAGGTGATAACATGATGTTTTCTAAGCGATTCCTCCCACTGCTGCTAGTTGTTACAGGCTCCTCAGTGACGATGTTGTTATTTTAACAATTGAATGTGGTCTCCTAAATGTTGTTTCAGAGAACTGGCTTAAATTGGTCACTTCCTCTTATGTTTGATTTTGTTGGGCAGGTACTCATTGTGGCATGTCAATGAACATGGTGTCTATTAAGATGGTCTATTAAGATGGTCTATCAAGATGGTCACTTCCTCTTATGTTTGATTTTGTTGGGCAGGTACTCATTGTGGCATGTCAGTGAACATGGTGTCTATTAAGATGGTCTATTAAGATGGTCTATCAAGATGGTCACTTCCTCTTATGTTTGATTGTGTTGGGCAGGTACTCATTGTGGCATGTCAATGGACATGGTGTATATTAAGATGGTCTATTAAGATGGTCTATTAAGATGGTCTATCAAGATGGTCACTTCCTCTTATGTTTGATTGTGTTGGGCAGGTACTCATTGTGGCATGTCAATGAACATGGTGTCTATTAAGATGATCTATTAAGATGGTCACTTCCTCTTATGTTTGATTTTGTTGGGCAGGTACTCATTGTGGCATGTCAGTGAACATGGTGTCTATTAAGATGGTCTATTAAGATGGTCTATCAAGATGGTCACTTCCTCTTATGTTTGATTTTGTTGGGCAGGTACTCATTGTGGCATGTCAATGAACATGGTGTCTATTAAGATGGTCTATCAAGATGGTCACTTCCTCTTATGTTTGATTTTGTTGGGCAGGTACTCATTGTGGCATGTCAATGAACATGGTGTTTATTAAGATGGTCTATTAAGATGGTCTATCAAGATGGTCACTTCCTCTTATGTTTGATTGTGTTGGGCAGGTACTCATTGTGGCATGTCAATGGACATGGTGTATATTAAGATGGTCTATTAAGATGGTCTATTAAGATGGTCTATCAAGATGGTCACTTCCTCTTATGTTTGATTGTGTTGGGCAGGTACTCATTGTGGCATGTCAATGAACATGGTGTTTATTAAGATGGTCTATTAAGATGGTCTATCAAGATGGTCACTTCCTCTTATGTTTGATTGTGTTGGGCAGGTACTCATTGTGGCATGTCAATGGACATGGTGTATATTAAGATGGTCTATTAAGATGGTCTATCAAGATGGTCACTTCCTCTTATGTTTGATTGTGTTGGGCAGGTACTCATTGTGGCATGTCAATGGACATGGTGTATATTAAGATGGTCTATTAAGATGGTCTATCAAGATGGTCACTTCCTCTTATGTTTGATTGTGTTGGGCAGGTACTCATTGTGGCATGTCAATGAACATGGTGTCTATTAAGATGATCTATTAAGATGGTCACTTCCTCTTATGTTTGATTTTGTTGGGCAGGTACTCATTGTGGCATGTCAATGAACATGGTGTCTATTAAGATGGTCTATTAAGATGATCTATTAAGATGGTCACTTCCTCTTATGTTTGATTTTGTTGGGCAGGTACTCATTGTGGCATGTCAATGAACATGGTGTCTATTAAGATGGTCTATTAAGATGGTCTATCAAGATGGTCACTTCCTCTTATGTTTGATTGTGTTGGGCAGGTACTCATTGTGGCATGTCAATGGACATGGTGTATATTAAGATGGTCTATTAAGATGGTCTATCAAGATGGTCACTTCCTCTTATGTTTGATTGTGTTGGGCAGGTACTCATTGTGGCATGTCAATGAACATGGTGTCTATTAAGATGATCTATTAAGATGGTCACTTCCTCTTATGTTTGATTTTGTTGGGCAGGTACTCATTGTGGCATGTCAATGAACATGGTGTCTATTAAGATGGTCTATTAAGATGATCTATTAAGATGGTCACTTCCTCTTATGTTTGATTTTGTTGGGCAGGTACTCATTGTGGCATGTCAATGAACATGGTGTCTATTAAGATGGTCTATTAAGATGGTCTATCAAGATGGTCACTTCCTCTTATGTTTGATTGTGTTGGGCAGGTACTCATTGTGGCATGTCAATGGACATGGTGTATATTAAGATGGTCTATTAAGATGGTCTATTAAGATGGTCTATCAAGATGGTCACTTCCTCTTATGTTTGATTGTGTTGGGCAGGTACTCATTGTGGCATGTCAATGAACATGGTGTCTATTAAGATGATCTATTAAGATGGTCACTTCCTCTTATGTTTGATTTTGTTGGGCAGGTACTCATTGTGGCATGTCAATGAACATGGTGTCTATTAAGATGGTCTATTAAGATGATCTATTAAGATGGTCACTTCCTCTTATGTTTGATTTTGTTGGGCAGGTACTCATTGTGGCATGTCAGTGAACATGGTGTTTATTAAGATGGTCTATTAAGATGGTCTATTAAGATGGTCACTTCCTCTTATGTTTGATTTTGTTGGGCAGGTACTCATTGTGGCATGTCAGTGAACATGGTGTTTATTAAGATGGTCTATTAAGATGGTCAGCGCTGTTGTTATTTAATTAAATTCCTGATTTCCTGCTTCCTTCTTTAAAGTGTGGAGTAGCTTATCAATTAATGATGCGTATGAGAAGAAAGAGGGATATGCACAAAGACAGATTGTGAAATCTGTGTTCAGACTTCAACAGTGGTGACAAGTCATTGCCAGAGTTTCTGACTGGTATTGGACACAATATTAGACTGGTATGAACTGTAGTACAACTCAAGTATCAGCTGCACAACTGCATTATGTGCTTGGTGATTTGTGAATTTTGTGCTATTACATATGCTATTTAATGTTATATTATATGATATTATATTATATTATTTTCATGTGAGAATAAATCCATGTGTTGCAAAAAGATTTGTTGGTATTCTATTACATCTTTTCATTGAGGACCTTTTGTCCTACCTATTAAGGGCTTTTTTGTCCTGGGGGCATTTAGCCTGGGGGTGTTTTGTCCGAGGGTGCAAGTGCTTGATAACGGTGTTAGTACCTACACCGAAACGTCGCACTCATTGCAATAAAGAAGTTGACTATCCATAGAAATCAGTTTTCCTTCAACCTTACATAAGAAATCCTTTTTGGAGAGATGTGCACGTCTTCACTACATAGGACAGTGGCCGCGGCCCCGTTGTGAACCCACAAAGACCAAAGCGCGTTTATGATGCCGACAACATATCTATATGTACTTGGAATGTGTGTGGTTTGTTGTCTAAAATACAATGGCCTGACTTTATAACATTTTGTTCAATGTACGATATTTTCTGTTTTCTTGAAACCATGTGTACTGAAAGTTCAACTGCACTAGAGGGCGCATTTAACGGGTTTTCATTTCACTATTGTAACGCAAAGCGACAGTACACTAGAGGTAGACCGTCTGGTGGTATATGTGTGATTATTCGACGAGGCATTGAAAATACTCTAGAAAGAGTATATGCACACTGGGATAATATCATTGTATTGAAGGTAGTTAACCACCAGGTTTCCCAGACTGTTGAAAACGTATTTCTTGTGTTCACATACATTCATCCTGAAAAGTCTCCTGAGTACGACAAATCTGAAGACAATGGTATTGAACGTCTACAAAACAAACTGTTACATATTAAGTATGACTATGGGGATTCCAGTAACTTTGTTTTATGCGGTGACCTTAATGCGAGAACTGGGTCAGATCCTGACTTTATTACTGACGATAATCCTGAATACCTTCCAGTTGGTGACACATATAACACGGACATTTTTGACCAACCTCGAAACTCAGAAGATGATGTTACAAATAAATATGGCAGATGGTTGCTCGAACTGTGTAAATCGTTTGGTATACACATTGTAAATGGTCGTTGTAACCCAACTGCATCTCGTTTGTATACATACATTTCCAATATGGGTACAAGTGTTGTGGACTATTGTATTGTGTCAAGTGAGATGTTCGCCTACTTGCAAGACTTCCAAATACCAGAGCGTACAGAATCGGACCATATGCCAATTGTTGTCGTTTTATGTAGTCTATTTTTAGGTCTAGGTTCTGATGTTTCTGCGTGTACAGATTCTCCTGGTTTACCCCGTGTGTCTAGATACAGAATCCCCGATGCCTTCGTCGCAGAATATAACAACTGTCTTACCCATACCATCGAGTCAAGCATATTTGAAGATTTCGTTACATTACTAGATATCGATGTTAACTTGGCTGCTAGGAAACTGGGCGATATTCTGATAAATTGTTCCCCAACAAGGTTACTGTTTAACCCAAGCTCAAATAGACGAAGGGAACAACCACCGTGGTTTGATCAAGATTGTCGTGTATCCTGAAAAGCTAAGCAAAAGCATTATGTACCTATCGTGAAATTTAAGTGTCAGTCAAATTTAAAGAAATACCTATCAGTAAAGTGTGATTTTAATAGGTGCTGCCAACTTAAAAAGATTATTACGATAAGAAAATTGCAGATGACATAAGCATTGCAGCAAGGTATGGGGATTGTAAATCCTTCTGGAAGACTTTGAATTCCTGATATGTGGTAAGAATGTACAAAGTGGTATTTCTCCAGATATCTGGTTGTCATATTTTACATCACTACTCAGCCCTGAACCAGGCAGTGAAAAGACTGTTTTGATGAAACCGTATCCATTCGTACATTCTCATTCCTGTGAACATTGTAACACTTTGCCTTTTAGTGATGAACTCTTATCAGGTCAAATCACAGAAAAAGAAATTATAGATAGTATTGGTATGCTGAAACGAAACAAGGCTCTGGCTAAGATGGCATTCCACCAGAATTTCTTAAGTTAGCTGACACTATAACTGTTGTTAAATACTTACAATTATTGTATAATAAGATATTAGATACAGGTCACTTTCCGAAGTGTGGAACATTGGAATGATTGTCCCTTTGTTTAAGTCTGGAAACAGATCAAATCCGAATAATTACAGAGGAATATCAAGTTGTTAAATGTTATTGGTAAAGTGTTTTACGCCTGTTTTAGAAAAACTAATAAGAATTTGGTTGGATGTTAATAATTTGATTTCGAGTCTCAAGCAGGTTTCGTCCGGATTATTCTACGGTAGACAATATTTTTATCCTACAGTCGTTAGCAGCAAATATCTATGTAAGAAGGGGTAGATTTTACATTGGCATTCGGCCGATTTTAAAGCTTTTGATTACATTAATAGGAAAAAAATGCTATATATGTTAGCTACAAAAAGGTTGTTATTGCAAAATGTATACAATATTGAAGAGTATGTATTCATCAGTTAAAGCTTGTAAAAATCTGAAGAGGGCATCACACAACACTTTGAAACTTCATGTGGGTGTTCGCCAAGGTTGTGTCTTAAGCCCTGTGCTATTCATATTCTTTATAAATGAACTTGTAACTGATATGTATAACAAATGTGATCATGGAATATTTATAAGCCAAACTATTGAAGACATAATGATGCTATTGTTTGCAGATGATGTTACAATGTTTTCATTTACAGTAGCAGGTTTGCAAAGACAACTGAATGTACTAGATGGTTTTTGTAGAAAATGGAGTCTTGAGGTGAATTCAGAAAAGACAAATATAATAGTTTTTAGAAACGGTGGTATACTGCGAAAAAATGAGAAATGGTACTTTGGTGATAAACAGCTAAAAAGTGTTACTTACTATAAGTACTTAGGGTTAATATTCTCCTCAAGGCTCTTATGGTCAAACGCTTGTAAGACCCTTGCTGCACAGGCAACTATAGCAATGTTCTCTGTATTCCATTTATTTAGGAAGAATAGCTTTATCTCATTTACTACAGCCTGCCAAATATTTGATACAAAATTGCTCCTGTTTTATTATACGCAAGTGAAATTTGGGGCAATAATAATCATCATGAAATAGAGCAAGTGCAAACTACATATTTTAAACGATATTTAAGGGTGGGAAAGTTTGCATCCAATAAGGCCATACTTGGTGAAACTGGTAGGTATGATATGTTTATATTAACTCAAATACGATGTATTAAGTATTGGATTAAGTTGTTGCAAATGAATGTAAATCGTTACCCATATCAATGTTATGTATTACTTAAAAATTTAGATGAAAATGGAAAATGTAATTGGGTGTCCAACATTCGAACAATCCTGTTTAGAACAGGTTTCTCATTTGTGTGGATATTACAAAATGTTGGTGATGCAAATGTGTTTATAGTGAAGTTTAGAGAAAGATTGATTGACATATACAAACAAACTTGGCATGATTCTATTTGTATCTCGCACTATTTAACGAACTACTGTAAGCTGAAAGCAGTTCTGGAGCCTGAATGTTATATTTTACAACTGAATGATAAGTCTCTTCTAAGAGCAGTTTGTAAATTTAGAATATCCCTACATAATTTTAGACTGACTGACTGACTGACTGAGTTTAGTTTTACGCCGCTTTTAGCAATATTCCAGCAATATCACGGCGGGGGACACCAGAAATGGGCTTAACACATTGTGCCCATGTGGGGAATCGAACCCGGGTCTTCGGCGTGACGAGCCAACGCTTTAACCATTAGGCTACCCCACCGCCCCCATAATTTTAGAATTGTTACTTACAGGAGAAATAAAGACAGTGGGAAAATTAGTTGTATCTGTAAAAATTGTAATCTTGGAGCGATTGAAGATGAATACCATGTTTTTATGCAATGTACAAAATATAATGAAATTCGGAAAAAGTACTTGCCACAGCTGAATGCCATGCCCCAATGTGAACAAAGCATGATAAATGTATTACACTCCAAAGATTCTAATATTATTAAATCAGTTGCTCTGTTTTTTAAACATCTGTTTAAACATTATATATGAAACTATCACATGGCATTGTAAAATATTGTAAGTTTCAACTGTATTATAGGCCGTTAGGCCCACATTACTGAATAAATCTGTCTGTCTGTCTGTCCTTTTTGGAGAGATGTAATCTCTGCATGGGGATCGTATTTACAAAAAAGCTTTATAAACACTAAATTCAAATGACATGTTAAACCATTGTATGTGGTTTAATTATATGTTTAACATATTAACCAATTTTTATGAATTGATCTAATGAACCCAACTACAGGAGAATTCTATACTTATGAAGAACTACAAAAAATATATCAAGTTAAAACAAATATCTTAAAATATCATAGCATCAAATCTTCACAATTGCGTGCTTAAAGAGAAGACAAATCACTCTTCCCAAAAGACTCCCATTTTCTCCAATACTACGATTCAATATATCCAAACTTAGTCTAAGGGTTAAAGGCTCCAAAACGTTTGATCTTTCTTTACTAGACCCCAATTACAATAAGTCATATGCACATAAAAAGTGGGAAAGAGTCTTTGAAACACAGTATGATAACAAATTGTTGCGAAACATATATATGATGACAAATCGATGTACAACATGTAGTAACTTGAAATGGTTACAGATGGAGATATTATATGATATTATACCCACAAACATTTCCTTTAATAGAATTGGTCTAAAGGAGACACCTTTATGTACATTCTGTTCAAAGGAATTAGAAACAATTGTCCATCTACTCTGTAATTGTTGTCATGTTAATCAGATTTGGGAGAGTTTGACCAGATGGCTAATGACTGTAACTAAAGGCAATGTTGACTTCACACTAGAAAACATTTTACTTGGATTTAAAGGGAAACATAATAATTCTTTAAATGCAACATGTCTTGTTGTGAAACAGGTAATATACACATAAAAAATAAAAAAACAAGTTCCAAATTTCAAGCATGTAGTAAGGGAGATATCAAAATACTATGAAATTACAAAATATAATGCTTATTCTACATGCAGTAACGCGAGTACTTTACCTTCTGGTCATCTTTCCACAATCTATTCACAGAAAATATGACGTCAGAAAACATATTGTAAGTGTATTTAATTACTATTACTATTATTGGAAACACAGAGATAAAATATGCAAAACATATTCAAAGATGTTTATTCATTGTATGATGCGGATTTGTGTAAGTGTATTGAGTATACTCATGTGCATGTATTCTACATGTACTATGGAAACTGTGGAAATAAAGATGGTAAAAAATGTTAAAAAAACACTCAAGAACTACTCTCTGAGTCACAAGCTGGCTTTTGAGAAAACTAGAGTACTATCGAGCAGATACTTATACTTAACGCAGACATATGGCTGGAATATTGCTGGGTGTGGTGTAAAACTAAACTTACTCACTCATTTATATTCTAAGCAGCAAAAGAAACGTCAGTTTGGAATTTTCCTTGGCAGAAACGGATAACTGTAAACTCATTTAATGTTTGATTGCATATTTTTGCAAAATCTCCAACTTTACCTGAGCAAAGTCATTCCTTCCCAAACTCAGAATGGAACCCTGGTAATGGTCTCAAAATCGCTACCTGATCTCGGAGATGGTACAGTGTTCTCAATGTTTTTCATGCAACTCATGCTGCACATGCTGTTCACAGGGACCAGCCCTATAAAATGCACCCCCAAGCCTGGTTGAAACATTCACATTACGTCATGGTTGATACCGGTACAGTATCACGCGATACGATTATCGCGATATGGTTCAGATTCTGCAATATATTGGGTCATCCAGAGTTTGCTCCATCTGAATTATCTGCCCTTGTTTTCCATAGCACACAAATGTGCTCTAAAAGTGCCAAATATGCTTTTATGCTTTTATTTCTGTTTCGTGTAACATTTTTACAAGTGGAAATGTCATTGTAAGTGGCTCCAAATACTTTGTTTTGTGGGTTTGAATGGTTTCATTTGGAGGAATTAAGTGGCCTCAAATGGACCAAATATTTTTTGGACTGATTAGCAGAGCCTCCGGCTCTGAGTGACCATGTCACAGCTCACAGTATTGTGTTACTTTTGTTTGTTTCATGATAATGGGGCATATGATATCAATTTATCATACAGGCCTGAGTCTTAGAAAAATCATAGGACTGTATAATGACATTCTAGTCAAGGATCATAGCTATCGGAGGTCACATGCAATTTTAATCTCAAGTAGTTCAACTAAATCTTGTTTTTGTTTTATTTAGCAATAGTTCACGTCAACACACGGAATCTGAATGAATCAAATACAGTAACAATAATTGCATACTGCACTGAAGCAAACAACACTGACTATGGAAATCATGTTATACTATTATTACCTTTATCATTATGCTCGCAAAACGTTGGTGCAATATATTCCACATTAAGGCTCTATGTTTGTTTTTTTCATCTGTAAACGATTGGCATACAGCCATACACAATGGGGACAGGGAGCCTGAAAGTAGTGTGTAACAGCAACTGAGAAGGGGCGGATACAGCTTTTGGAGAAAGGGGGTGCACACTATTCAGAAAAGGAGGTGTCCACACTTCATTTTCACCCGAGTTTCAATGGTCATTTAACAAACTTTCAGCACAAAACCCCCACACACGAACAAACACAACCCAAGTGGTTTGACAAAGAATGTGGAATTTGAAAATGCAGAAAGTATTCACTTCTTGATATCGAAAAGTAGTTGTGCTATTATCATGATTATATCAGCTGACAACTGCATGGTTTGAACATTTCAGTTCACTGCTCAACCCTCATAACAGCCATTGTTTGATGGTGATGTAAAGTACTTTATTGATAACCGTGGCGTAACTAGTTGTTATCAGTGTAAAGACTGAGACTACATGCTATGTGGGGAATTTACGGAAGAAGAAACTAGAAAATTTTGATAATTTGAAAAAGGCAAATCCCCCGACTAACGGGATCGGGTGGTCAGGCTTGCTGACTTGATTGACATGACATTGGTTAACAATTGCGTAGATCCATGCTCATGCTGTTGATCCCTGGATTGTCTGGTCCAGGCTCGATAATTTACACACCGCTGTCATATAGCTGGAATAGTGCTGAGTGCGGCGTAAAACTAAACTCAATCACTAACTCCTTATCTGTGATTTTAACAAGGGTACATGTGATTAGATATCACGTGACCGGAAACTAGTGACATGTGCATATCAATATTACATTTATGTGAACGATATAAAGCATCCTTAAATATCATATAGTTTTTTTTGTTTTGTTTTTTTTGGCAAGGTAAGAGTTTATTGTACGATTTGGACTAAATACAGTCTATATTATGATAATATGGTTATGGTTCGCTATTAGTGACACCCGGTGTCACGAAACAGGCGAAATCACCAGGCTCCACCAGTGACCCCCATTATCATACGTCTGGATTTCCTCACATTGAATGAAGATAACATGCACAGAGATAATTGATTTACATGTTTAACGTGCATTAGGGGCAATTTTGACACATCTGTAGCAAGTATTACACCAGCTGGGGAAATCGGCTCACAAGCAGAGGTACCAATTTGCATGGTCAACCCACAAAACACCACCCGAATAAATAACGAGATACAGTTATTTTAGGCTTAAAACATTTTGATATCCCCTTGCAAGTGAGTCCCAAGCACATGGCAAGTAGATTTCTTGATCACGGCTGTTGTCACCATATGCCCGTGGCTTCCTGAAGCTTCCTTTGACGCCAATTGTTGAACAGTATTTTGGTGGCTTCCCAGTTTGATGATGTGGTCCTTGTTCTTGAGGATATGTTTCGATATGTTAACGGAGGTGCAATATATATTCTCGTTTTCTCTGTTCAGAGCTACACGATGTCCATTAAAAGACAAGAATCTGGGTATGTGGACAACTGGCAGGGAAGGGAGACTCTTACAGAGTGTAATCTGCGCATGCTCGAAACCGAAGACTTCAGTGACGTCACCTTCAGGGTGGGGTCACAGCAACAGGTGGTCCGAGCTCACCGTTACGTTCTTGTCAGTCGCAGCTGTGTGTTCCATGCCATGTTCTGCGGCCCCTTGGCAGAAAAAGGGGAGGTGACCATCCCGGATATTGAGGCAGACATCTTCAAGGAATTCTTAAGGTGTGTTTAATCTACCAACTTTACAATTAATTTATTACAAAATGAAAATACCTTCCATATTCGCTGGGCAGAAATTATTAAATACAGAATCTGAATGAAGATTATTTCGATTTATCTAAAAGTGTACATCAACGTTCCGTCAACACTACTAATATGTATTCCATGGCCTCCTGGTGATGAAAGGGGAGGTAACCACCCCTGACAGCTTAGAAGTCATTTTCAAAGCATTCATGGCAATCTATGTCAGAAACTGCAAACTAAGTTCTGCAATCATAAATGTCAAGCTACAATATGACATGGACGTTATGGACGCCGTGTAATTAGTTTTGGCATATAAATGGTGTTTAATTGATTAAATTTCACCATTATAATCCTGCTTTGTGTCCATGGAACGAATGCACAGCACAAAAACGCATTGGAAACTGTAATGCATATTTACGTTCGAAAGTGTCAACCTACATGAAAATGTAATGGAGAAAAAGTGGTTCGGAAGATGCACGTGCAGTTTTGAAGAATCGTGAGCATGGGCATTGCCTATATAAGGCCGGTTTGCTTTTAGACGGTCATTGGCATTTTTTTGCTAAATGAAAGGATATTGTTATGCCGCGACTCACTGCTGTACATCGAAACATTGCCATTGGACCTCTGGAGGCTGGAGAGTCTCAATCTGCTGTTGCAAGTCACCTCAATGTTCGCCAGAGTACCATCTGTGGTTTATTGGACCGATATCATCAAACCAATTCTAAGCAAGAGAGGGCTTGAACTGGTAGACCTCAGATTACCTCAGATAAGCACATCCAGGTACTTTAATTGCGGAATCGGTGATGTTGTCATGATGTGGGATTTACATGGTCACTGACCACCAGAGGGAGTTGTGGCAAGATAATGCCAGGCCTTACTCAGCACATGCCACTTTTCAGTATCTCCCATGGCCTTCCAAATTGCACTCAGTGCCATCGCTCATTTGTGGGTTGGGGATGGCCTTGGCTGACGCGTACATGAACGTCAGCCAGCGCCCAAGACTTAAGATCAACTGACATTGCAAGAAGAACGAGCCAGAATTCTGCCAGGCCGCCAGACTTATTCGGTCCATGCCTAGATGGTTCAGAGCAGTTTTTGGGGGCTCCCAGTGGCCACAGGCGATATTGAAGACAATGTCTAAACTGGGAAGTTATACTTGACATGTTGTCATTTATATTGTGAAATGTGGCTGCAACTGATCCAGAATTACATGTATTTTTTACTTGATAAAGTTAGCTGATTACTTTCCTGAAAATACACTGGACATTTCTTATTTGGGTTGAGTATAGTTTATAACGTTCTACAATAGCAGATGCAAACCCTATATGTTTTTTGGCAAAACTGTTGAATATCAAGTTGAAGTTCAGAGTACCACAAATCAAGAAAAAAGTATGTACCAATATCACCCATAGCTAAGCTGGAAGTATTGAAGAATGTGTTGCTGAAAATACAGAAACATTCTATTACCTCTCCATTTTCATCACCCACATCCTCCCCGATATGACATGCTTAACGTTCTGAATATTTATGAGAAGTAATATTACAAAGAGCGGTGATTCACAAGAACAATTGTGTCTCCAAATGAACCATTATGATTTATTGTAGGTATATGTACACAGACGAGGCCCGAATCAATGCTGAAACAGTCACGGGCCTTATGTACACATCCAGGAAATACTCTCTTGATACATTGTACGATCTCTGTGTAACTTTCCTGGAGGAGTCCCTGTCAGAAGACAATGTTTGCCAGATACTGGAGGAGTGTCATGGTTACGGGGAACTGGACTTGGAACAGAAGGCCCTGAAGATCCTGACTGAAGGAGGGGAGAGAGTCACCAAGTCTCCAGGATTTGTGGGGCTTTGCTCTGAGTGTGTGGGGAAGCTCCTCAAATCGGACACGCTGAACCTGAAAGAGAAAGATATATTTGAAGCAGTGCTGTCCTGGACAAAGGAAAGATGCCGGAAGGAAGGTGTGAGTGACACGCCTGAGAACAGACGAAGACTCTTGGGTGACATGAGGTATGAGATCCGGTTCACCAGCCTGTCCCTGGAGTATCTAGTGAAGGTTGTGGGCCCATCTGGATTACTGACAGCGGAGGAGAGAGTTAGAATTATGGACAGAGCTTTTGATTCTACTGTTGACATTTCCCCATTTGTAGGTTTAAAGCGGAAGCACATACAGGAACCTGATATTTGTAAATACGTCCAAAGATTTGCAACTGTGTCACATGTCAAAGATGGTGTGGCAGGAAGCCATTCTCTCTCTTTTTCAGTCAATCACAGGATTCAACTGAAAGGTTGTCAGCTGTATGGTGGATATGATGACCTGGAGGTTCCAGTGAGTATTTCACTGTATGACCAAGATGAATCAGAGATAACTGAACTGGACACCGAGATGGAGCTTCTCGGGCGTGGGCAGATGACTGACATCTTGTTCTCTGAGTCGGTACTACTGCAGCCAGGCACAACATACATTGTGTGTGTGGAAATAGATGTCCTTGCCACGGAGGAGGGGCCTTACTGGGGTCAGTGGGAGCAGGGAGGTTACATTGGGTTAAATGGAAAGCAGACTGTAACCACTGATGGGGTTCAGTTCACGTTTTCAAACAGCCGATATTACAATACAGAGACAACAGCTCTGAGAGGAAACATACCTGGCTTCATATTCAGTATCTAAACATACACATAGAATGTTAGTGGGTGATGGAACTGTGAATACATCTACCCAAATATACTAGCCACATACAGAAACTGTGCATTGTCAAAATATTATCCCAGTTGATAAGTACGAGAACATTGTCAAAGGTACATATAAACTTTAATGGAGGGATCATGAGACCATAACAAGTCGGGAAAATTTCAATTGAAAAGTCAATCACAATGACGTCATGAGTCCACAAGCAGGACAGGGGTCAAACGACCATGTCACAAGCTCAATAACGGGTATGTCCACCATCGGCATTGAGAACTGCAGTGCATCGATGGCGCATAGAGCCTATGAAAACTGCAAGGATTGGCTTGTGGGATGTCACGCCAGATTCTCAGATTCACGCAAGTTCTGTTGCAAGGTCAAGGACATTATCTGGCGGATGAGGAAGACGGTGTAGACGTCGATCCATCTCGTCCCAAACATGCTCTATCGGGGAGAGATCGGGTGAATTTGCAAGCTAAGGCAGTAAGTCAACGTTGTGGTGTTGCAAGAAATCCATAGCAGCCCTTGCCGTATGAGGGCGGGCATTGTCCTGTTGGAATGTTAACCCAGGGCCATGGCGTTGCAGAAAAGGAATTGCCACAGGTCGATCCCTCGAATCTGATCCCTGTAGCCCACACCAGTTAAGTTGAGCTGAACAATCACCAAAGGAGTTCTTTGGCGTGCTGTTATTCCACGCCAAATCATCACGGAACCACCACCATAGCGATTCCTCAGGCCTGTGCATAACGTTTTCCCACGCGTCTATAGGCACGTTGACTTCCATCACTAAAGGAAATGTTAAACCTGGACTCATCTGTACAAACAACATTTCTCCCCCAAAACAAGGGTCTGCGGAAATCATTTCGGCACCACATTCGGCGAGCTTGTCGATGACGTTGTGTCAGGATAGGCCATATGGCGGGACGTCGTCGTCTGATCCCGTGATGACGTAAACGTTGTTGAACTGTGTTGGGGTGGATACGGCGAAGTCCTGGGATGGTTCGGGCAGTCATCACTGCAGTCTGAAACCTGTGGCGAAGATGGGTCACCCTTATCCATCTGTCCTGTCTTGGCGTTGTTACACGTGGACGTCCAGAACGTGGCCGATCGATGACGTCATTTGTGTTCTGGTAGCGTCTCACCAGTGCAGAAATGGTGTTCCGGTGGCAGTGGAAAAGTGCAGCCACTTGTCGTGGAGACATTCCCCCACGGACCATCCCAATGGCCTCATGACGTTGTGCAGACGTGAGCCTTGGCATGCTATGCATTTCAATAGCCGTTTAATTTTTTGAACGATCGCAAGGGCAGGGGTTGAGCTTTCCAAAGTGACAGTATTGTGTGGCATTCATTTGCTCTGTTTCTCTTTCCCGGAATGCACGTGCAACAACGTATTGCACGTCTCAAGGACGAACCTACTTACGTCACGGAACGTGGCACGTGCATGCATGTTGGATACATGTCACTAGTCTCTGAGTTTAAATCTTTATGTGTCTACACAGGTTTGATAAATTTAGATTTTTATTTTTTTATATGCACAGTTTCTTTATGTGCCTAGTATATGTCACACTGACCAACCACACCATCCCTCTAATTATCCCCCGCAACGCGTCCCTCCGTCCGTCCTTCCGTGCACATTTGTCTTTTCCGGAGCAGAACTCTAAAACCGTTCTATATTTCTTCACCAAACTTGGCACATAGATAGATCTGGTGGTGTACTGGTGGCCCCTTTTGGTAATTTTGGAATTCTGAATAAAACATTTTTGGCGTTTCCATGGCAACAAGTTCGACTTAGACTGAAATTGGTGATAGTGCTCCTTTCTGGAGCAGAACTTTAAAAACCTTTTAATACTCCCCTTCCACTTTTCTATATACACACCAAAATATTTGACATAATCATAACTCGTAGACATAATCATGAAGAGTATTTTGCCATTGCGGGGGATATTGATGACTTTGTCTTCTTGTTTGCATTTGTACCTCATGTGGTAGAATGTACATCAACGACCATGCTTATAATCAACAACTGAAATGCATGTGTATGTGTATGTCGCGTGTATGGTCTAAGGGAAGTAACTGTGTGTACATCATGTAACGTCACGTTCCGTGGTCTCATGTTTGTATTGAATGAGTCAATCCTGCGTCATATCGCAATTTACATGTCCTAATTATAAATTTAGCTTGATTCACATCACATCTTCTAGCAACAATACATTGTGGAACCAACAATGTGTAATTAACAATCGTACTCGAATATTAACAATGTTTAGAAATGAATATTAAAAACCCCGAAAAGGAAATACAATGACAGTACAAAATAGAGGGACGTACAAACGCAGCCGCTGTACAAATACAAGGGCAATAGAAGAAGTGGTTATAGGAACAAAGACGGTGATGATAATAATCACCTAACTGCTACAATGGTCGACATTCCAAATTAGATCTGGGCTGGGAATATCGTGTAGTGGGATATGACTAATGATCTACTGAAGAAGGTTCAAGAAGTTTCTGTCCTGGAACTTTTGCTTACTCACTGGGTCGGTCAACGCTGGAAACTTCCGGTTGGTCCACACACTTCCGGTCTTAACTCCATGTCAAATATAGTAACTAGTGCACCATGTAACATGAACTTGTTAAGGACATTGTAAACAGGGGTTACAATCAGCTTATATTGAATAAAGCGTTTTTCTCTCAAATATTAACAATAAATACTGTTGAGATAATTATTATTGTTGACGTTGTTGTTGTTGCTGCTGCTGTTGCTGTTGCTGCTGCTGCGGCCATGTTCACCTATATTTGTGTTTGTTTCTGTCATGTTCTCTTGTATTTGTGTAATGTGTGATGGGCACACAAAATGCCTGTTTCGATCCCGACACAGATCTTATACTCGTTGTCGACGTCCTTTGCCTAAATCGGCATCATGAGAAAGGTTCCCTTGGGAGAATTGCGTTAATGTATGCGGAAGACTTACTGAGATTGACGAAACAATCAACGCCAAAGAATACAAGTCTCTGTTACGAGGGTCGGTCAAAAAGTAGTTGGCCTCACCTAGAAAATGATACATATGCAGCTGTTTTTGTTTATTTTTCTACATATTAGCTGTCAACCTCAAGCAAATTGGTTTTGTTATGATCAAGCCTCACGATCCCGATTTTGTTTGACATTTTATCTTGGTACTCCCCAATATGCAAAATCTGCAATACATGCATCACAAACTTCAGGAAACAACTTACGCAAGAAACATTTTGTGTGTTTGGGATAGTCCACTAGAATCAAACTTAGATATTGCAATCGCTTGTTAAAATGACTCTGAATCGCTTGTTAAAATGATTACTGAAAGGGCTTGTTTTGGTGACACTACCCAACCCATTTCGCATGACGTAATCATAAGGACATAACTTATTATAATGTTTCTCTTATTCATGCATGAAGCCAATGGTTCAAACTAAATACTGAAAGGTCACACAAGTGTCAGCTCACAATATATTGTAAACAGTGCCAGCTTGAATATCTGGACACAGTGTTTTTGAAAGATAAAAATACGGGTGTCCTTAAAAAACAGCCTCCGCCTTAATTGTATATCAGGCAATCCACAACTGTGACTGTTGATTACGACGGGAAGTCATCCAATACTATACTGAACATATTGTATGTGATACTATCTCCATTATCTACCATTTTGTTTAGAAATATTACACCCCAATGTGTTGTGATAACTAATATCTCGTTAACCACATTACCCACATATGTGAAATTTTGGATATGGCTTTGCTAATGATTCCTTCAAAATATTATGGATTCTTTTCAAACATTGGACATCGAGAAAATAGTTAGGCTGGAATTACACTACGTCCGCATTTTTTGACGTATGCGTTACCGAGTGCGTTTTTTCCAATACGCTAGGTGCGATCATCTGCGATATAAGACGGATAAATATAAGGTGGAGGAAAAATCCTAGCATCTCTGGCAGTTTCTGTGCATGAGGAAGAGACCAAAACACGGAGATGGTGGACACATCCCTTAAACCAACAAAGATTACTTGAAGGAGCCTATAATCGTCTTTTAAGGGAATTATTAGGGAATTAAATAACATCAATCTTTTATGTGTTTTGTCTAAATGGAAAATATACTGCTTGCGTTTTTTTCGGATGCAACGCATGACGCAACGCAGAGAAAATCGGACGTAGTGTAAATCCAGCCTTAGGCCGACTACGTTTTGACCGACCCTCGTATCTGATCAAGGAGAACCATCGGTCAAGATAGGATGAGATAAGATATTTGCTTTAAACATTTATATTGTCAAAAGTGGAACCGGATTGGTAAACAAGCAGTATGTTGCTTATCTGAATACCGCTCCGTACAGGATAATATATTGCACAGCATTCCATGAGGGAATAGTGGCAATATTCTATAAACTACATATATTAACACAGTAGGTACAAGTATATTGAAATACTCAGGAATATTCCACATATTAATAATATACATTGTAACAATTTCACTTGGATAAACATAGAATAAGTCAACAGTGATGAAACTTAAGAGAGCGGATCACTGAATATCAGAGATGACACCAGGTGTTTGTGACACCAGGGTAAACAGGTCATGCGCTACCTGTAGTACGCCTTGCATAAACAGGTGTGTCACCGTATCCCTTATGACTACGTAGATCGATGCTGAATATTCTGATACACCTCTCAAACATGAACTTAAACACTTTACGGTTTTAATTTCTGAAAATGTCTTGCTTTTGATGGAAAGGAACCCAGAGCATTCTATTGTTTGCAGATGTTGACAAAAAATGTTATTTCAGATACTTGGCCTTCTACAAATCATCTGGCTGTTTCCGCAAACAACAGCATTATATGCGACTTTCAAAAGAATCATTCCCAGAGTTCAGATAGCAATACGTATATTGTGTGTGCTCATCATGATAAAAAAAGGAACAAACTGCGGTCTTCAGCAATCCATGGGACTAACGGGTTTGGGTGGTCAAGTTCGCTGATTTGATTGACACATGTCATCGTATCCTAATTGTATAGATCGATCATGATGTTGATCATTTGATTGTCTGGTTCAGATTCGAGTATTTACAGACCTCCGCCATATAGCTGGAATATTGCTGAGTGTAGCGTTGAACAACAAACAAACGAAGAAGAAACGTTTATGTTGTTTTTACTTGCAATAACCAGATATAGTTTCTTCAATGACGGAGCTGTATTGTTACCAAAGGGGAAAGAACTCGTTTTACGTTTTACACATTGTAATAAATGCTGGCCCCAAATCTCAATTTTATAAACATACAACTGCTTAGCCTCCATATCAAATAAGTTTCATCTATTGGAAATGGTTGATTTCAAACCAAAAGAACGAACGCCTGTCTCGACTGTCGTCCATCAACAGGAAACCCAGTCAAGGCTCCAGGCACATGTGGCCACACGGCAATGTGCGCCTAGATCTGATGGCTGAAAGTTCAATGGCGAATGGGTACCTTTCTTGCCGAGAAAGGGTTTAGTTGCAAAATGTAAATGAAACCTGTGGTATTGGCAACTCTCTATCGTCGCTTCCATATTCTGTCATGTTCTCATTATAGTATTACAGCCGAAATCTATTCACTAACACTCGTAATATGAAATTGTCCTTAGATCGGGAACACCCCAAACCTCTGAGCGCATGGCAAGCCGTTTACACATTATTAAGAAATTACTGATATCTACAATTATATTAAAGGTTTCCGTATTGTATTTAAATTCATCAGTAATGAATGATATATTAAGATATCGGAAATAATGTCCATTCAAGATTTCTTAAAATCGACAGATATCGGAAAATAATTTATTGCAGACATCTATAATTATCTCTATTCGAGATATCTTCAATTCAATTCAAGATGCCTCCATTTTCATTCAGGATATCTTTAAAACAGTCTCAGATATCAATATTTCTTAATAAATGTGAAACGGCTTGCAGTGTGAACGCATATGTGAAATGCCGACCCAGACCCATGACCCGTCTGGCCAGGATGATAGAGAGGGAGAGACGATTATAGCTTTCTGACGTACCAAAGGGACGCAACCCTGCACAGCAAAATGTGGCACCTTGGACGACCTTAACGCCTCAGTATCATACAGTTGGTGGATAATCTATTTATACCACACGTAGTTATATATCGCAACGTCTTGTGCCTATGGACAAAAAGCTACTCCTAAGATAAACAATTTACAGGGCCGTCAACTTTAAATGAAGACAAATCCCATGGGGGGATTTTGCACCTACAGTACACTTTATAGAGCAATAATATAGCAAAAGATGCCAGCTAATATTTGTCGTTTTCCGAATTCGACTGAGTCAAACGATACAATCATGAGATAGATTAGAAAATGTTTGAATTGATGTCTATTTGTCAGTCTCGTTCAGCTGAGAGTTTAGAAAGGTAAACATGTACAACTACAAATATCACAGCTAACCTTTGATAGAGATGAGGGCTTCTAAGACGTAAGTTCATATAGTGTAAGAAGGAAAAGAAACTACACTCAAGCAATATTGTGTGGTCCGCGAGTTATCTGAGGTTCGAAACAACCAAAAAATAGTCTGCCACACGAATTTACGATCTAGTTTTCCAGATGATTCATTCCAGTATTAGTCTAAATACAGCACACCCCTTGCCCTTACTTCATGTACAAGTGCTTTATTTAACAGTTGAAGCATTGTTGCTCAACATATATTTAGATTCTAGTAGAAGATTTAATCCAGTATTAGGTATTACAAAAAAAACGACATCTGGCCTGCGCTGCATCTCAGGTGTTCTACAGAATACAGGATGTACTTCTCCATGTGCTTGTACATCCCACATTCTAAATACCAGAGACAGTAGCGTTTTGATGATGACCTCCGTAAACAACAACATTCTACTGACGGTAGCTGACGGTAGCTGGTCTACTAGTTTCCTGTACCCAAAGAACTTACTTAAGCACCCCCTGACATGTCTCACGATTGAATAAGCCCCGATCGTAACCCTTTGGAGCATATGTAGGACATGATTGGTCGTCGAGTGCAAAAAAGGGATCCTCCTGTACAGAACCTAGCCCAATTGGAAGCTGCTTTACACGAGGAATGGTGTAGACTGGCCCTTCAGACGATCAGGAAGCTGACAGGGGGTATGTGGAGGAGAGTGCTGACTGTCATACGGTCACATGGAGATTACAGTCGGTATTGACCTTGAATCGTGTAAGACTTGCAAAATGATATTTACCAATAAATTCAACATTAAACATTCAAGGGCCAAACATGTACACAAATGGTTTTGTATGAAACTCAGTGTTTTATAAAATGAGCAATAATCATCATAAAAGCATTTTGTCGTTTTTTATGAGTCAAAGGATCATACGGGTCAGAAAAACTCATGTTTTTCCATCGTTGTCACCACGAGAAGTTATGAATGAGTTGAAAACCTGTCATTGGAAAATTACAGGGGGTGCTTAACTAAGTTCTTTGTGTATATATACTGTACTGTTCACCATCACCATCATCCACCTGAAGAAGGGGCAACAACTAGCCCAGAAACGTTGTGAAAAATAAATCAAGAAGTTGTTATCCATAAGATTTGTCTTGTATTACTACGCCAACTTCTAAATGCCTTTGAAGAATTGCGTATATGGGAGGGTTGGGGGTAGGTGAGGTTGGGTTTAATCTGACCTTATCATACGTTAATCACAGAGTTGTCCTGCGTTTGATATTAAATAAAGCGCACGTAAAATACACTGATTAAACGGAAGTCGAGTCAAACCGAAACTATTATAGGATTACAGGTATCCGACAGGTGAAAGTTGCTTTTGCCCTCTCTGTGTTCAAACCATCTGTACCAGCTCAGGTAAGTTGTACACTGTACGTACATCTGTACGGAACGATGATTTGTCTAGTGTACATTGTGTGGTGGTATAGACTAGACAGATATGTGGATGTTGATAACATGACCACACCCTAATACTATATATATATACAACTGTAATATAGATATTGTAACAGTCAGTTGTACCCATAGATTCTGTGATGCGTAATACGCGACATTATGACGCGACAACCTTGATACCCTACCAGTGTTTACAATACTTTAATTTGTAAGCTGGCTTTAAAATCTACAGGCCCATTTTGTTTATGTCAAACCAATAAAAACAAAATAGAGTACACTGTACACAGTTTCGCACCGTTTCTACAAAATCAATTAGCGAAGCCTATAGTACATTCTTAATGAGGCCTCATGCATATTTATATCTGTACCAAAACGAGGCTAAATTGGGCAAGGACACAATCGCATAATGGCGACAAATCTCAATGTATACTTCCTGGTTAAATTTCCCTTGAACGGTACATTACGAAACTGTCCAGTAGTTCAGGGAAATCGCAGAGAAATGGGAAAGGGCTACAAAAATGTTTCTGTAGCATATCCAAGGATTGAAGGGTGAATAATTACTGTACTTCATGACACATCACGATAAGTCATATGACCTAGATATCTAGGTTATGTTTACCATGTTGCGCAGCATTTATGAAGGGAAGCTACTCTAAAGTCACAATAGTGGAAATATTACCAAGGGAAGTCAATTGCGTTTACTTTATCAACATATGAACAAAGCAAAAGACTCAACGTATTTCCTGACCTGGATTCAAACCATCCACTTCCACATGGGAGTAGTGTTGTTAATTCTTGAGCTGGATAATCGAGATTATAAGTAATATGTAGATCAAGATAGCTTATTTGTTTGGTATTTTTTCTGTTTAAAATGTTTTGTCCTATCGACTCTGTTTTATAGATATAGGGTTTTTATTCACGCATGTATTTTCAGTTGTACAGGACTACTGGTGATGGCGATGTGCGCGTAGATGCATGTTACAATCTCAGAGGAAAAACGAATCT